CTGATGTTCTTCTTAGGCACTGGACTTCTATGGATGTCAGTAAACCCGGAAGGCCGGTTGTGAGTACACATGTGAGCTTTAAAAACAACATTAGAGAATTGAAAGTTATTTGGCAAAAGATGGCTGTTAACCAGAGGTGCTTCACTGACAGTGATTTGGAGGGGATTTGAGCTTAGAACATAGTATTTGTTTAAATTATTTGTTGACTTAACACATCGTAGGGTTCCTGAGTTTTAATGCTCTTTTTATTTTCAGAAGATATCCTTGGAAGAAGGAACTTCAGGAGCTTTCTAAAGTAACAGAAACATTATATTTGTACTAGTCTACTAGTCATGTGGTGTTGGGCCTACATTTTCTTGAACATTTATTTTATGCAGTTTTAGGTAATGAAGATCCAGGAGGTCATGGTCATGATAATAAAGGCAGGGTTTTTTTTTTAAGACAGAATGCATATTTTAGTTGGTAGTTTCTTGAATTTACTGGTACTGTGTGGGTGGAGTTTAGATTGAGTAATTCCTGCAATGGTTGTTTAATTTGGTGGAAAGCTGGCTATGACCAGAGAACAAAGTGTCAAGAAATGGTTCAGTTTTAAGTTTGTGTGTGTGTGTGTGTGTATATGTGTGTGTGTATGTGTGTGTGTGTGTGTGTGTGTAAGTGGAGTATTTTGGGTTCATTCATCTCTTGCCAATCTTAGTTGTTAAGTAATCTTCTTGCATTCATGTTTACATCATCATCAGAATCTTGTGTTTCTGCTACTCATAAAATCTGACTCTGGTTTTTAAGGTAAGGCTTCAGGCTTGGAATGAACCAGGAAAAGCCTCATTTATATCTCTCTTGCAAGAAGGACAGAGGGCCTGCACTGTGTACTGGCTGCCAGAAGTTTTTATAGTAATACTTTGTATCTAGGCTCTGGCTCTTACCATTAAATGTGCTTTTTATAGAGTACCAAGTTATAAATGTAGTGCAGCTACGGCATATTAATCTTACTGCAGAGATTTAATGAGGCAGTTGTTTTGCGATGGACACTATTGGGAGCAGAGAGCGACAGAGTTTTACTTTACCACTGAGCTGCAGAAATATTCCTTGCCTGGTAATAATTATAACCACATGATCTCTTAGTTTTTCTTTCTTTTGCCAGTGCTTTTCCATGCAAAAGTGGCTTGGAAGGAGGTCCATTTGTAGGCAGTGAAATGGATTGGAAATTGGGCTGTTTTCTCAGTGGTTTGACATTTTCGCTTTGATCAGGCATGGGATCCTTGTTGCACAAGGAGAAATATGTAAGATGAGTTTCAAGAATACAGATAGTCTTTGCCAGTCCACTGAGATGGCTTTTAGATATTCATTACTTTTACTTGACTTTTATATAGGTTATAAAAAGTAAATGTGGTGAAACCTCATTTTTACATGGACAGAATAGAATTTCTGCTGGTTGGCCTTAAACTGATCCCACACTTGAAATTAATTGAAGTCCATGGGTTTATGGCCTCCACCACTTTTAAGCCAGTGCAATTTTTCATTTTCCCCAAAGTTGTAATTTTATTGAACCAAGTTATAGCAATAACAACCCTTACGAAGAGGAGGATGAGAAGAAGAAAAGAGCCACCTGCCAGAGAAAACAATAAGGGGAAAATCAGACTCCTTTTAAACTTCCATTTATAAGTAATGTTAACAAAATTGGAAACAGAAAGCTGCCCTTTATTTTCGTAATAATAATTGTGTCTTTGTTCCAAAAATTAAGACTTTTATCTAGGTCAGAGCACTATAAATCCAGTGCTTCATAACACCCCTTTGAAGGGATGAGCCAGAAAGCTGGTTGTGCAAATGAGATCACAGCGACGCAAGGAACATGTTTGGGGCATCCTTTAGGGTGAAGGGCAGAGAGCAGTTGCCTGCAGCTACAATGGGGTGTGTAGTCCCAGTGCCTGCGGTGTGTGGATCTTTAAAAATATTGCCCTTTGGGTGGGTTTATAGCACAACAATGGAGTTGGAAGAACAGTTGTTCTTCTTGCAGTGATGTTGGGTGCAGGGCAGTACTTACAGGCCTCGTATTTATAACCCCTTAGGTTGAAGTCAGAGGTTTGAATGGCTAACAGAGTAATACAATTATTTTTTATGATTGGATCTCAAAGGACTTTATAAAAACTACATAACTAAGGCCATGTGTAATTATTGAAGTGTAGCCACCTGTGGGGAAGAATTGGTTGACAATGTAAGCTTTCTAGAATCATCCTACATCAACTGATATTAGGAATGGAAACCTGTAACACAAATGAACACATCTTTTGAATGGGCGAGAAAGAATTCTCTGTGACAGGGGAGACTGTTAAAAAAAAAAATCTGAGGAGAGTGACTGAGATTCCAGTACTCATTATGCCAAGGCATCATCGGCTATAATCGCACCCACCCCCCAGAGGGTCTCTCTGAAGTGGTGACCTAAAAACAGATTCGCCAGTTGGCTGGAGCATGCATCCTAAAGTTGCAGCACAAGAGAATAAGCTTGACTGACTGCAGCCCCTGAAGGGTTCTATCTGTAAATGCAGAAGTGGAAACAAAACCATTTTTTATTAGTCTTAAATTGACCCTCATTTTAATAACTAGCCATGGTGTCAGAAGCATAGACTGGAGTCATTCTTTAGCTTTGAAGAGCTAACGCATCATGTATGCATTCTTATTTGTTTGATATTTTTGATATTGGATTCGTGTAAAGTGCCCATATTCTTGAATAATAAGGAAGGTGAGTTTTTATCATTTTTCTCTGCATACTACTTGAAGTATTCAGAGTGTCTCCTTATTTAAAAACAAACAGGCCTGCAAACTGGATGTGTGGCATTTAAATAATCGCATTAAAATTCAGTCCTAGTGCCCATATTTCCCTGAGTGCTGTCAGTTTTATGAGAAACTCGAAACTCATGCTAAACAACTAAAAGTATTCAGTGTGTGCATGCTGCCTTCCAACAAGTATTTAATAGTGTGGGGGCCAATTTGCCATAATTGGGACAGTTATTTATTTTCCTGCATTACTCTCTAATTTGGCAGTATTTTACCACTTGGTTTTAGTTTGTTGGAGATCTTTGAACCATTACCCATTTGTTGCATCTATAGCTGTGGATGGAACTCTTGAAACCAGCAAAGTCGAATGTGGTATATCGTACATATAGTGTCAATTTTGGAAAATGTAGGCCTGTAGGTGCTTTTTAATTTGAAGGTACCTGGTTTCTTCCTGTTTACAGAAAAAATACCAGCAAAGGACTTTTTATGTACTCTTTTTTTTTTTTCCTTCTCTACCTTCTCATCATCACTAAATAATATTTACTAAGCACTCACCTGGACACGGTGCTGTGCTGGGCAAAGTACAAGACAAACGATCAAGATCCTGTGATTACTCCCCCAGGATTGAGCAGCCTAAACCCCAGTATGTTTAAATGGGCACTGTGTAGAGTGTTGAGATAATAATTTTCCAGATGGCAAATCAACCCAAATTACCAATTTACTTAAACACTACATTCTTTTTTTTTTTTTTAAATAAACAAACAAAACTACTTGCTCTTTGAGATGGGAATTCTGTTTTTTTCATTAACCCAAGAGATTATTATATATGTTGAATGTAAGTTGATTTTGGCATATGTAAATCATTTGAAGGGTGGTGATATAGTTTATTGCAGATGTGAAGAAAGGCTTTGGAACAACTGCCAGCAAAAAAAGGAGCGTAGTTACTTGTAGAAGTAAGGTTTGTAGAAGCTTGTTACGTGCAAGATAGCAGAAAGCACTTTCAGACACTTACTTTTCTAAGAACTGTGGACTAATTTTGTTTTTGTGAATTCTTGATTAAAACATTTCAAATATTTATCCTCCCATATTTAAAAAATTTGACTACAGATAATGCATTATATATCTCTTAGGTATTTTTATACAACTCTTTTGTAACTATTTCATTAACTACTCTATTTTGAGACATAATTTATTTCTGACTTTGGAGGACTTTTTGCTATTAGAAATTAATGCCCCATAAATTAAGTTATATTATCCTAATTACTGCTTAGGAGGCGTATTTTCTCCCTCACTTCCTCCTTTTGCTTTCCCGAAAAGAGGAGCAGTGGCACCATGATGTTTGGGGGTACTTCTCTAAAATGAGTCAAAGGAAAGCATAAAGAAAAAGTATTTTAAGTATTTACTGAGCTTTAAGTGAAAACATTACTTGTGTTGTACTCTCCTATACCCCCTTGCTATGTATGTAGCGTGGTTAGGATTAGAATGGAAGTATTTTTAGTTTTCCCATTAATTTACTTTTGATATTGATAATGCCAACTCAAGTTGTTGACTTGATTATAATTTATCATTGTTCTTTGTATATTTTGTTTCACTTTTTGCTCATTTTGAAAACGAGGCATATGAACATACTTAAACTTGAATTTATGTTTGTAGGAATGTTTTGCATGCGGTAGAGCTTATTTAGCTATCACTGTGTAGCAAATAATGGGGTAACTGTGTGTTTTGACCAGTTTTTAAGTAAAGGTCAATTTCATGCGTATGGTAATTAGCTTAGCTTATTCTAGACTTTTGGCTAATTCTGGTAATTTCCCGTGAAAGAGTATATTTAGCAGAAAAGAAATTCATTCTTAAGCACAGTGGTTTTTTTCCCCTTTCCATTGGAGACTGTTTAATTTTAAAGGCATTTATTTATTTATTTTTTAAAGCAAATCCCCCTTAAAGGCTATGAAAAAAATGGCAAAGTTAACCTAAAGTGTGGCTAGTTATTTGAGGAGGAGATGGGGAAAGGGCTGCATGGTAGAGAAGAAAGGGAAATCCTCTAGTCATCACAAACTGACATGTTTTAAGGAAGACTCACTTTTGATTTTTCTGTAATAAAATCTGCAATAAAGGCCTCCCATTGTTGTTTCAAGGAAAATTGTGTTTCTGGTTTTGGTAGCAAGAAGATTAAGCGTGACTTGAAAAGAACCTGGTTTTAAAGCCTGTATTTACACAGTCTTGATTTTTTTCAGACCCCAACTGTAAACTTGAAGACAAGACTGAAGATGGAGAGGCAATAGACTGTAAGAAGAGGCCGGAAGACGGAGACGAGTTGGAAGACGAGGCCGTGCACAGCTGTGACAGCTGCCTGCAGGTGTTCGAATCACTGAGCGATATCACAGAACACAAGATTAATCAATGTCAGCTGACAGGTAAACAATACTTAGCGCTTCTTGTCTTCTCACCATCGTAGTTCTGATTTTTCAGTGTGTTCCTTTTTTCCCCCTCTTCTAATTATTTTATTCCTATACTTGAATACCTAGCTAGGAAAATCTAGACGTGCTTTAGAAAGAAGTCTAAGGTGGTTTATGGCAAATTCAGTGTCACCGACCTTAGCTTTTGAATTGTACCTAGATTTTAATAGCTAATGCATACATTTTCATTTCCAGTTTTTCTTAACTACAGTGATGCCACCTAGGTGCTAACATCGAGTGGCTAAAATAAAGTTTAAGAATACCTTCTGAATATTTTTTTCAAAGAAATTTAGTATGCCTTAGCTTGTTGTAGTTTAAATATCATCTCATGGGAACTTTCCCTGCTCCTTCTCTGACTGAGTTGGGTGCCTTTCTGTGCTCCCATAAAGTTCGATGCCCATTCTTGAGTATCCCAGTTTTTTTGCATTGTCCTCCTTAGACTGAAAGCTCATGAATGGCGGGAACAGTGCTTCACTCGTCATTTGTAGTCTCTGAGCCTTTGGTCCGCAGGAGTTACTCACTAGGGCCCAGAGGCTGTTCTGCTATATAGTTCATGCCAAGAGTCAGATTAAAATGACATGAGCATGACATGTTCAACTTAATGGTTGGCTAAAACTAAAACTCAGTTTACCAACTTTGTACCTTTAAAAATTTATCCTACAAGAATGTACTTTATGGGACATTTTAGATAGATATCTTTTTTTAGATTCATGTCATGTTTCTCTTACTGTTTGAAGCTGACCCTGCTCGTGTGTGTGTGTGTGTGTGTGTGTGTGTGTGTGTGTAGTTCTCTTTCTCTATCTTATTTTCCGAGCACAAACCTCTCTTCAATTAACCATGTGTAGGAAATATATTTACTAGACAAGTGGTTCTCTGTTTTCCACAGAATATTGATATTTTTGTAAGATTTTAATAGGTGTTCCATTTTAACCTGGTTTCCTGACACAGATTATTGTGGAAATGTTGGATTAAATCCAATTACATAGGCTTCTTTATTAAAGTGTACTGTGGCTCTTCAAGAAGGGATTGCCATGAGTAAATTTATTAGACTGTAGAATTTTCTTTCCTTGAGAAAACCGATTATCATTTTTTGGGAACATAAGTATGAGAATTGATGAAGCTTATATAAACATTGGCCATGTGCATATTTTTGTGTTTTTTGTAACTTTCATTTTGATACAATTCCAAATTCATAGAAAAATTGCAAAAATTGTACATGTAACTACCATAATACCATTTACCTGATTGACCAATTGTTTGCATTTTATCCCATTTGTTTTATTATTGTCTCTTTTTCATCAATTTTTTTCTTAATCATTTTTTCTTTATTATTTTCTTAATCATTGAGAGACGATTGGAGACATCACACCCTTCTAAATATATCCTGAATATTTCTTAGAAACAAATACATTCTCTTACATGACCACAGCACATTTAACAAAATCAGGAAAGACAACACTTAACACCATACCAATACTATTATCTAATCCATAATTAATATTTAAATTCCAACAGTTATTCTAATAATGTCCTTTAGAGCCTCCCCCCCCCCATCTAGGGTTCAGGATCATGCATATAACATGTGTCATGTTTCTTTTGTTTCCTTTCACCTAGAATGACCTCTCAGCCTTTCTTGACCAGTACCTGCCAGCTACTTTATAAAATGCCCATCTGTATTTGAGTTTGTTAGATGTTTTCTCATGATTAAATTCGGGTTATATACTTACATGGCAGGAACACTGTAACACCAAAGTGATGTGCCTTTCTAAGTGCATCAGATCAGAAAATATGTGATGTTGATTTGTCCCAACGTTGATGATGTTAACACCTTTTTAAAGAGGATGTCCACCAACTTGGTCCAGTGTAAAGTTACTATTTTCTCTTAGTAAATAATAAGCAATTTGTGGGAACATACTTTGACACTATGCAAATATCCTTGTCCTCATAAAATATTCATTTTAACTTCATAAATTTTGTATTTTTGTATTTTTTAGTTGGCCTTCTGTTACACTTTATTTTTCTTATTCATTCATTTGTTTATTCATATCACCATGCACTTTTGAATTTTTATTTTATTCAGTGGGTCATAATTCATTACTATCATTATTTTAATGCCCAAGTTTCCTGAGATTTAGCCAATGGGAATCCCTTCAAACTGGAGCCTGTGTCAATTTAATATGTCTCCATCGTTACTTGACGACTTACTTAGTTTCTGCTGCATACAAATGCTCCAGATGTACCTTCTTGTCCCAGTCCACAATAGGGCTTTTTTCCAACGAGCCCCATTTCCTTTAAGAGGAGAAAGGTATTTAGAAACCAAGATATGGGCACTGTGTGTGCTCATTGTTATAGGTATATTGATTTTAGACCCTCTCAGCAGACAGAATTAGGAAATGTATGTGTATATTTCATATAATACGCATATAATGTAATTCATAAAATATACACATATATACATAAATGTATTTCTCTCTCTCTAAGAAGAACCATGTATTCTTGATACCTCTAATTTAATCCAACATTTCAGGTACATCTCAGTCTTTTTCTTACCTTCTTTAGCAGCGAGAAACCTAGCTTCCATCATCTTCAATATGTTTCCTCATGTTTTTGAGTCTAGATACACATTAAGTACTTTCAGAGTTCTTGTTCATATATATATATATATCATCACAATAAGCAGAACAACTAATGGATGTTTATCATTATCAATACTATAATTTTTAATGTAACATTTACATACAATGAAATATATAAATTTTAAGTGTACAATTTGATGAATTTTGACAAAATACGTATGCCGGTGTGATCCACATTCCTCTTGAGATAATTTCTTGCATCCTAGAAATTTCCCTTGTACCCATTACAATCAATAATGCTGTCCCAGAAGTAACTCACTTTTAAGCTTTTTTAACCATAGATTAGTTTTGCCTGTTCTAGAAATTCTTGTAAGTGAAATCACACAGTGTATACTCTCTTTATGTTCAGTCTCTTTTATTCAGCATAACGTCTGTGAGATTCTTTCATGTTGCGTGTTTGGGTAATGTGTTCTTTTTTATTGCCGAACAGTATTCCGGTGTATGAATATATGATAGTTTGTTTTTGATTCTCCTGTTGTTAGATATTTTGGTTATTTTTAGTTTTTGGTTATTGGGGATAAAGTTGTGAACCTTCCTATATAGATCTTTTTGTGGACATGTTTTATTTCTCTTGAGTTAATAAGCAGAAGTAGAATTGCTGGATCATGGCAGTAAGGTGAGGTATATTTAACTGTATGAAAACTTGTGAACGCTTATCCTATGTGTTTACACCATTTTACACTCTCACCAGTAATGTCTGAGAGTTCCAGTTATGCATCCTTGATAACATTCGTATTGCCAATCTTTTTAATTTTAGCATTTTGTTGGGTGTGAATAAGTATTCTTTGTGGGTTTATTTGCATTTTCTACATTTAATTGACTTCATTTAATGCATTTTTTTTCTCAGAATGCATAATTTTTGGAAAAATTCCACTAACTGCAGGCAATTAGTATGATTCTTTTTTCAGTGGAATAGCTAGTGCTTTACAGCAAGCTTTGTTAGTGAAGAATTAACACTAACCTTAGGTAAAGACATGGGAACTTAACTGACATGGCCAGTATATACTATGTCAGCAGGAAATCTTACCTTAGGTAAGAGTGGGTTATCTGTCATGTGAAAGGTTAACTTTAAAATTCAAATAATTAAAAGAACTTTAAATTCTACTTAGTGTTTACTTTTTATTGAGTTCCTGCCAAAAGTTATCCTTATGTTCAGCTCTATGAGATAGAGTAGAAGCAAAACACATTTATTCTTTTACAACTTTATATGTTATACAATATGTGTTCCTTTGTATACTATACAGTTTAATATCAGTGTAGAAAATGCTGGATTTTCAGCACATGTTATGGTGAATATAATATTTATGAGTTAAATAGTGTTTTTCTTCAAAAGCAAAAAAACAAAACAAAAACAAACCTTAATAAAATATTTGGTTTATTTTGATCTCAAGCTTTCTAAAAGCAGGGAATCTAGTCTGTGCTCACACACCACAACATTTGAATCAAAGATAGGAAAACAGAGGCTTATTTGTGACTCAATGAAACACATTTCAGGAAAGGTAAAACTGGTGGACTTGGTCCTGTTGTTGCTCAGAAAGTTTTCTTGGGGAGATTGTAGACTGATGAGGAAAAGCAGAAGTATAGGATCAGAGAGAGCAAAAAAGAGGGAGAAACAAAACTAGGGATCATTCACATTTGTTAAAGTTGTTGAGACTTGAATTGGCTAAGGGTCTAAAAAGATTAAAGACACTGGAAGCATTTTAATTAAAAAAGTAACGTGGGCTGGCCGAGTAGCGCGTTGGTTAAGAGTTGGCTTGGGACGCCAGCTCTGAGCAGCAGGGCCCCGGTTCAGATCCCACATGAGGGCCAGTGATGGTGCGCTCTCTACAGCAAAGATGGTGAACAACAGCTCGACCTGGAGCTGGGCTGCTGTGAGTCATTGGCGACGGCATAGGCTGCAGTGGGGCTGGCCAGCAGCTGGCGTGAGCTTTCTTGAGCATCCATGAGCCGCCATGAGTGGCTGTCCAATGGCCGGCGAGCGACTACCTCACCCCGGAAGAGTGCAATAATACCAACATGGGCCAGTGAAGCGACGTCCTCCACAACTAGACTGAAAAACAAAAGGACAGCAGCTTTTCTGTTCCCCTCCCGCAATTCCCCAATAAATACCTTTAAAAAAAAAAAAAGTAACATGATACTTTTACCTTCTTCCTTGGTTTTATAGCCTTTTAATGTAAGGAGGTCCAACTCTTGTAATTTTTGTTTCCTGCTGCTTGAGTTAACTCTTTTCTTAGTACTGCTCCCCCCGCCCCCCCCCCCATAGACAAAATGTTAGTTTAGCAAAGGAGAATATTTCTAGTTGTTTTCTTTTTCTGTCTTAGT